TTGGTGCCATGACATTCCCGTGTCATGCCCAATCTTGTGTCACTACCATGCGGTCCGTGACACTAAGCTGTAATTAAGCGGTCAACGACAATGTTGACCGCTTAATGCCAGCCTAGGCTTTCGTATGCGACACCTAGGCTCGCGCTTCCGCCTCAGACCCAGATTTTAAAGGGGCAAAATTTTTTCCTTTTTTTTTTGAAATAAAACCCACAGCCCAGATTCAATAGTCCACTATCCCTTCAAACTTCAAAAACTCCAGATTCCATAGAACTAAGAAGACGGAAGAACGGGAAAAAAAAAAACGAAAGAACTGCGCAAAACCTCTCAATTTCTCCGCACACCGCACTGATTTGGGTATCTGGTATGTATAAGAAATGATCAAAATGAAATAAGAGAGCTCGAGAATGTTGATTTTGTATCGGATGATACGGAGGACAAATTAGATGAAAAAGAATATATTGAATTGGAGTCCGATAAAGAGTTAAGTTAGATAAGATTTAAGCTACAATTTATCTACGTTATGTAATTATGATTTTGAAACTTATCTTTATGTGAGAATTATTAAGTAAATATAGTATTTTATAATTTTAGATGTTTGGTATGTATTATTTGAATTATGGAATTTTTTTACAATGATTAAAAATTTAAAATAAAATTAAAATTAAAAAAACATTTTTTTACGCCTCAGCTTCGCCCATGCTCACCTAGGCTCATAAAGTTTGAAATTTGGTATCCACGCCTAACCACGCTTTACGCTTTTTAGAACATTGGTTGTATATAGAAATGTACAGAATGCATTGTTTTCGGAGTTATTAAGGGTTCGTTCTCTTTGCTGTTTTCATGCCATTTTCATTTTTAGTTTTCGAAAACACCGAAAACACGTTTAAGTATCTATTTTCAGAAACGAATTTCCAAAAATGAATTTAAAATTTACAAGAAAATGGAAAACGCTAAAAAGGTCGTTTTGACTGTTTTCAATTAAAATCAAGCAAAAACTTCATTTTTTTATTTTTGAAAACAATTTTTCAAAATGACAAAAAGAACGAGTTTTCAAGAATTTCGAAATGGACACTTAAAACACAAAATTCAAAACAAAAAATTAAAACACGAACAGAAAAATCCATTTTTGTCCATTTTGTTCTGTGATAGCTGAGTTTTGTATTGCTGATGGAAATATACATTAATTGTACAACAGTGGAGTTAGCCAGTCCTTGCACCCCTAGGAAAAAAGCTACAGGCTCTTTCTTGTTAGGAAACTGTCCGTGATAAAGTTTTTTGGTAATTTCCTCTGTCTGACAGGAGAGACTCGATGGCTGGTCATCGAACTTTTAGCAAAATTTCATTTTAAAACTGTTTTTGTAGTCAAATGACGAAACAACGTTTTGGGGGCCATTTGGACAGTGAACACGCAATGAAGTTAAGTCGGACTCCATTGGCCACCAGTGGGAAATTGGTTCATGAGGTATTTATCTGGATAGTCAAAACCGACAAACAACACGAAACTTAGGTTATGGTTGCTGGACAGAACCCGCTTCGGAATGCAAGAGTATGCATTGATGACAAGTTTGATATGTCGCGAGAAATGGGACACAGAAATGTGAAAAAGACATTCTCGATATATTGGTTGAGAAATCAGTGGTTCAATTGCAAATGACCATATCAACATGAAAAAGTTGCGGGATATTTTCAGAACTTATGACCTCCATGAAGACAAGTACAAAATGGGATTGGTGATGCTGTTGGGATATTATATGTTTAATTAACAATTGTTATATGGACTATCTAATTAAGTAATTCAGAATCTATTGGGTATGTGCTTTGTAATGCGCAGTCCATTACTAGACTAATTAGGATTAATGGAACTCTAATTAAAATTTAGTATATAAGGAACCTTAGGGGTTATGGTCCACAATGCTAATAATTCACAATCGTTCATATCCTCATTCCCCATCAGTGAGAGAGAACCCATTGAGTGCTGTGATTAGTTTGTGGAAAACGTCAAACCTAATTGATTCATCATTATGGATTCAAGTATGTTTTCTCTTCTATTGAATTCTTGAAAATTTGACATAAGACCCTTTGGCATGTATGATGGATTAAACATAGGTTTTTTTATCAGTCTATGTAAAAGTAAGGTCCAGCAAGTGGTATCGGAGCTAAATTTCGTGTTAAATTATTAGGAATGATCATGAAGGTTATGTTTTATGAATTTCTTGATAGATTGTTTCATCATATATTTTTCGTTGAATTGTTATTTGGCTACCCATATGGATATTTAGGGTTAAATATGAAGTATGCATGATTTTCTTGATCATGATTGCATATTTGAAAGGGCTCTTTGAAGTTCTCAATTCATGGTACAATTTTGGGATTTTATTTTTTCTCTCTTATGTTTTGAGTCATTGTAGAATCACATGAGAAAACTTTAGGATTATTCATTTAGTTATATGAGTGTTTTGATTATGGTTTCAGGAAGAAAAACACCAATTTTCAAAATTTATTTTAGGGTTTTTCGCTCTAGAACGGAATTAAAAGATAATTACAGAAAAACCAATGCGGTTGGCGCTAATTTTGGGAAAATAAAATAAAATTATTTGCATTGTTTTCTTGTATCTTACAATAAACTAATTGAATCAATATATTACTAAAGTAACCTCAATTGCGTAGGTTTATTTATTTTGGGATATTAAGATGCGTATGTTTTTTATTTATGTGAGCACTGATCGGCCTAAAAGAAGGTTATTGGTTGAATAGATAATAAACACACTTGAGGGAATAAATATGGAGAAAATTACCTCCAGACCTGATTTTAAAGTTCCATCTTCATAAATCAGATTTATAGTTTAAAGTTTCAAAAATTAGGTGTTTTATATCTAATTAAATAATAATAAATTAATTATAAAATTTCATCCCAATTAATAATTTCCCAAAATCAAACCCACCATTCCTCCTGTCCCAATCTTCTCTCTTCCTGTAGTATTCTCTCTTCTCCCTCTTCGACGACGGCGGCAATGCTCATAACACACCCCATATCTGTCGGCAATGTCTTCTCTCCTCCCGTCGATGTTCTCTCTTCTCCTACCGTCTCTCACCCATTTCTCCACTCTCTTCACACACGGCGACACAGCAACCACCACCACCCGCCACCTCCATCGCCACCGTGTTTCACAGGTCAAACCTCGAAGCGGCGCGGTTCGTTTCCCTGCTCTCCGGCGCTTGAAGCGTAACAACGCAGATCTGTTATTTTTCGAAGGATTTTGAACAAGGTCATAGAGGGGTTTGAAGATGTCGAAAATAGCAATCTTAAGGCTGGGAAGTTGTTTCTGTAGTTGCGTTGTGATTGCGTTGATTTTCTTATTGATCTAAATTAAGTTTATATTAAGCATCTAAATTAAGTTTATATTAAGGCCTTGTATGTGAGAGATTAAAATCGGATTAAAATTGAAAATATAGTCGTTAGTGTTGACTTTTATTAGACAGTGGGACCCAATAACGACCATATTTTCAATTTTAATTGGCTTTTAATCCCTCCCGAACGGCGCCTAAGCATCTAAGATTGCTATGAATTTCTTATCACTCCTCCTGACACGGCAAACATGTTTGTTCATCCTGTTTTACAAGTTGAAATGGACATCAATGGGTGGAATTCAAACAGTCTCTGCTTGAGTTACATTCAAATTTGGCCAGAATGATATTCAATTTCACGTGTTTTCACGTTTCTGAGACGACTTTGGGAGTGTTGAAAATGAAGAAGAGACCAACTGTTTAACTAGTGTTGCACCCAACAAACCCGGGTAGTTCGTTATGACAGGTTGTGACTAGTTAATTGTGACTCGTTGTAATCAATTATGATCGATTGTGACTTGAAATTCTGGAAATTTTTGGAAAGTTGGGAATGGGTGGATGGGGTGGGTAGGTTGATCGGAGCATGCGTTGGAGTGGTCATTGGAGCCGACGTAGATTTAAGCAGTTTGATTCCGGCATCACTTCTCATTTCCGGTTCGCCAGAGTGGCTGCCAGAAAAGTTGTCGCCGAGATGTCGCTGGTGAAGTCGCCGGAGCAGTTGCCGGATCTGATGGCCGTCTCCGGTGAAGAGGTGGAGGGAAGGTGGTATAGTGGAGTGATAGGATGTAGTAGGTGAGGTGACATTGATAAAAATAATTAATGTATATTATATT